GTGTGTGTGTGTCATGTCCATGTGTGTGTTGTCCATGTGTGTGTCTGTGTGTGTGTGTGTGTTCCTGTGTGTGTGTGTGTCCTGTGTGTGTGTGTGTGTCCATGTGTGTGTGTGTCCATGTGTGTGTGTGTGTGTGTCCATGTGTGTCCATGTGTGTGTGTGTGTGTCCATGTGTGTGTGTGTGTGTCTGTGTGTGTGTGTGTTAATGTCCGTCACTATTTTATTATTTCTTTATCCACAATGCCATGATGTCGTGTATGTGCCATAATCCATCTGTCCCTGCCATTCTTCTGTGTTGTATATTGATATATCAATATCCACAGTCCACCTACTATGTGTTCCATTATGATTCCATATCCACTATGTATTTACATTATATTCCATATCCCTACCACCATCTTTATTCTTCCTTCCATATTTTCCATATGTGTATTCCATATCCATGTTATCCATATCTTGCTGTCCATGTGTGTTTCATTCTATATCATGTCCATTCCTTCCATGCCTATGTTGTCCATTCCATATTCATACCATGTCTATTATGCCTTCTTTATATATATCCATGCTTCATATGATGTTATATATCCATATCCACCTTCCCATATATCCATTTCTTCCTACTATATGTTCTTATTCCATCCATTCCTTCACTTCCATCCATTCCATTCTTATATTTTGTTCATTATCCTTTCCTGTCTTATGTATTCCATATTTTCCTTCCACTATGTTATATATTATCCATTCTTCCATATGTGTTTACATTTATGTATTCTCCATTCACCACTATATGTGTTGTACATTTATTATATTTGTTATCCATATTCCCTATCTGTCCATATTATATCCATGTCCATGTGTTTATTCCTGTCTATGTGTTTTATGTGTTCTTATCCATATCTGTCATGTATTTGTACCTTATATACCATGTCCATATGTGTTGTACGTTGTGTGTGCTTATGTGTTCCATGTCTGTCCATTTTATGTGTGTTTATTTTGTTCATGTGTCATGTCCTTGTGTTATTGTGGTTCCTTCCATATCTTTGCTTGTGTTATGTGTGTGCTTATATGTCCATGTGTGTTGTGTCTGTGTCATGTGTCTTGTGTGTGTGTGTTGTGTCCATGTGTGTGTGTCCATGTCTCCACTGTGTGTCCATGTGTGTGTTGTGTTGTCTCATGTCCACCATGTGTGTTGTGTTATTCTCCATTCTCTACCATTGTGTGTTCATGTCATGTGTGTGTGATTGTCCATGTCCATATCCATGTGTGTTGTGTTGTGTGTCCATGTGTGTTGTGTGTGTGTCATGTCCATGTGTGTTGTCTGTGTGTCCACTGTGTGTCCTGATTCCTGTGTGTGTGTCGTTCCATGCCATGTGTGCTGTGTGTGTGTCTGTGTGTCCATGTGTGTCTCCATGTGTGTGTCCTGTGTGTTGTGTGTCCATGTCTGTGTCCATGTGTGTGTCCATGTGTGATTCTTCATGTCCATGTGTGTTTATGTGTTCCATGGTGGTTATCCATGTCCATGTGTGTGTGTGTTGTCCATGTGTGTGTGTGTGTGTGTCTTGTGTGTTCCATGTGGTCCATCCATGTGTGTTGTGTGTCCATGTGTGTTTGTGTGGTCCATGTGTGTGTGTGTCTCCATGTCCATGTATGTGTGTGTGTGTCTCTGTCCATGCCATGTGTTATGCCATATCCATGTGTGTGTCCATGTATTATGTGGATCCATATTCCATTGTGATGTGTGTTTATATCCATAATGTGTTGTGCATTAGTATCTATATCCATGATATCTTGTGTGTGTGCCATGTCCATATGTGTTGTGTCTGTCCATATGTGATTCTGTCCATGCTTAATGTGTTGTTGATTGTGTGTGTCCATGCCACTGTGTGTCCATGTCATGTCCATGACCCTGCCCTTGTGTGTTGTGCGTGTGTCTCATATCGTAATCCATGTGTGTTGTTCCATTGCGTTATGCCATGTGTGTGTCGTCTCCATGTGTCCATGTGTGTTGTACGTTATGTATCATATCCATGTGTGTTCCATGTGTGTTGTTAATGTGTCGTTATGTCCATATCCGTAGCCCTACCCCTTAATGTGTTGTGTGTTGTGTCCGTAGCCTGTGTCCTTCATGTCCATAAGCTGTGTCCATGTCCCAGCCCTCCATAATAATGTGTATGTGTCATATCCAAAGCCCCTGTGTGTATTGTACCATATATCGTTTATGTGTTGTGATGTACTATCCTATCATATGTGTTGCATTAATGTGTTGTACGTTATGTACCATATCCCAGCCCTACCCTTTAATGTGTTGTAGCATATCCGAAGCCCTACCCTTAATGTGTTGTACCATATCCGCAGCCCTACCCTTAATGTGTTACGTTATGTGTATCCCAGCCCTACCCCTTAATGTGTTGTACGTTATGTATCCCATACCCTTTAATGTGTTGTACCCTATCCGCCTTTTAATGTGTTGTTATGTACCATATTAGCCCTGCCCTTTAATGTGTTGTACGTTGTGCCATATCCGTAGCCCTGTATCATATCCGCAGCCCCCTTTAATGTGTTGTACGTTATGTACCATATCCGTAGCCCTGCCAATTAATGTGTTGTACGTTATGTACCATATCCGTAGCCCTACCCCTTAATGTGTTGTACGTTATGTACCATATCTGTACCCCTACCCCTTAATGTCTTGTACCTTATATACCATATCCGTAGCCCTACCCTTAATGTGTTGTACGTTATGTATCATATCCGCAGCCCTACCCCTTAATGTGTTGTACGTTAAGTATCATATCTGCAGCCCTACCCTCAATGTGGTTTACGTTACCATATCCGTAGCCCTACTCTTAGTGTGTTGTACGTTATATATCATATCCGTAGCCCTACCCTTAATGTGTTGTACGTTATATACCATATCTGCAGCCCTGCCCTTTAATGAGTTGTACGTTATATACCATATCCGTAGCCCTACCCTTAATGTGTTGTACGTTATGTATCATATCCGCAGCCCTGCCCCTTAATGTGTTGTACGTTATGTACCATATCCGAAGCCCTACCCCTTAATGTGTTGTACGTTATGTACCATATCCGCAGCCCTACCCTTAATGTGTTGTACGTTATGTATCATATCCGCGGCCCTACCCCTTAATGTGTTGTACGTTATGTATCATATCCGCAGCCCTACCCTCAATGTGTTGTACGTTACCGTATCCGTAGCCCTACTCTTAATGTGTTGTACGTTATATATCATATCCGTAGCCCTACCCTTAATGTTTTGTACGTTATATACCATATCCGTAGCCCTACCCTTAATGTGTTGTACGTTACCATATCCGTAGCCCTGCCCCTTAATGTGTTGTACGTTATGTACCATATCCGTAGCCCTACCCCTTAATGTGTTGTACGTTATGTACCATATCCGCAGCCCTACCTTTAATGTGTTTTACGTTATGTACCATATCCGTAGCCCTACCCTTAATGTGTTGTAGGTTATATACCATATCCGCAGCCCTACCCGTTAATGTGTTGTACGTTATATACCATATCCGCAACCCTGCCCTTAATGTGTTGTACGTTATGTACCATATCCGTAGCCCTACCCTTAATGTGTTGTACGTTATGTATCATATCCGCAGCCCTACCCTTAATGTGTAGTACGTTATGTATCATATCCGCAGCCCTGCCCCTTAATGTGTTGTACGTTATGTACCATATCCGAAGCCCTACCCCTTAATGTGTTGTACGTTATGTACCATATCCGCAGCCCTACCCTTAATGTGTTGTACGTTATGTATCATATCCGCAGCCCTACCCCTTAATGTGTTGTACGTTATGTATCATATCCGCAGCCCTACCCTCAATGTGTTGTACGTTACCATATCCGTAGCCCTACTCTTAATGTGTTGTACGTTATATATCATATCCGTAGCCCTACCCTTAATGTTTTGTACGTTATATACCATATCCGTAGCCCTACCCTTAATGTGTTGTACGTTATGTACCATATCCGCAGCCCTACCCTTAATGTGTTTTACGTTATATATCATATCCGTAGCCCTACCCCTTCATGTGTTGTACGTTACCATATCCGTAGCCCTACCCTCAATGTGTTGTAGGTTATATACCATATCCACAGCCCTGCCCTTAATGTGTTGTACGTTACCATATCCGTAGCCCTGCCCCTTAATGTGTTGTACGTTATGTACCATATCCGTAGCCCTACCCCTTAATGTGTTGTACGTTATGTACCATATCCGTAGCCCTACCCTTAATGTGTTGTACGTTACCATATCCGTAGCCCTACCCTTAATGTGTTGTACGTTATCATATCCGCAGCCCTACCCGTTAATGTGTTGTAGGTTATATACCATATCCGCAACGCTGCCCTTAATGTGTTGTACGTTATGTACCATATCCGTAGCCCTACCCCTTAATGTGTTGTACGTTATGTACCATATCCGCAGCCCTACCTTTAATGTGTTGTACGTTATGTATCATATCCGTAGCCCTGCCCTTTAATGTGTTGTACGTTATATACCATATCCGTAGCCCTGCCATTTAATGTGTTGTACGTTATGTATCATATCCAAGGCGCGCATCAGAATATTTGATGCTCCGGGCAACCATCACTCTGGATATCCGGCCACAGTATACAGATGATTATATTGCATCTGATGTCTATTGTTTTACCAGAAGCAACTTTGTGTCGTGCAATAACAAACCGGTTGTGCGTTCGAATGTCTTGTTATGATTCTGCTGCACCAGGTATTCCGATTAACTGCCGTGAGTATGCCTGTACCCCAGCCATCACTTCAACAAGCGTGACGTCATTGCATTACAAGGATAACGAAATCTGAACATGTGAATTAAACACATTTATTTTAGCTTTGTGAAAAGATTAATTTTAGCACTCTTGCAGAGAGAACATGGGACAATAGCACAAAAAGAGAATAAAAAATGAGCAAGTGTCAGCGGGGGAAGGAATACAGAGAATTGGAACATCTATTGAGAGGCTTTATTGCTCATTGTGGATAGGGTGAATCCGTGTAAAGTAAAACGTACAAAGAAAGACAAGGCAGTTTGTCAGGATGTGCCAAGATACATACTCCCTCCACAAATCTTACTATGATTCAAATGCAATAGACATGATAATGACTGCTTATTGATGCTGACCAGCAAAGGTATTACATATGATCAATTAATAATGTATTACCACTCTTTACTTTTTGAACAATAGATGAATTGTACATGAAGTGATGTTGATTACTTAATATGGCTGAAAATATCAGTAACATTCAAACCCATCTCTACACATGAATCTTATTACAATACAGAATATCTTATGAGACATTTACGCTTACGGCGTAAAAATGTAATTAATGTTAACAATTATGAAAATAATGATGTACAGAACAGCCCCTTTAACTTACCCCCAGGAGACAAGAACACTCCTTGGGCGGTGGTGTAGCCTAGTGGTTAAGGCGTTTGCTCGTCACGCCGAGGACCCGGGTTCGATTCCCCACATGGGTACAATTTGTGAAGCCCATTTCTGGTGTCCCCCGCCGTGATGTTGCTGGAATATTGCTAAAAGCGGCGCAAAACTAAACTCACTAACTCAAGAGCACTCCTAACAGCAGTGGTCAATGGTCACATGACCCAGGGCACGGACCAACTTGTCCTAATGTAAAAACAATGTTTAGGCTTAACACAATAATAACCAAATGTTATTATGCAGTAAAATTGAGGAGAGGTAAGAGAAAAGGAAGGTAACTCTTTGCGATCATCACTAACAAAGAAAACCTTGCTTGTTTCAACCCACAATCGCCATACAAAACTATTCTACAAAATAAATATTCTCGCAATAAAAAACGTTGAAACAAAGACTAGGATTACTAATACTAAAAACATGTGGACAACACACAAGTTGTCGTGACGATGACCATCTCGCTTGTGCTTGAATTTTATGAATGAAATATTACAAAATATGACTTTTCTGACAACTCTAAGCCATTGTGAACACAAAAGCAAAACACTACGAGCAAAGAGTATGTACTCACATTGGAGCGGGTGAGACTAGCTAAAGAAATGTTCGACTGTCTATTTGAAAACCGCACTACATACTACATCTGAGAGATGATGGCGCGAAATGAAACAATAGCAAACTGCACTATGGGAAAACATTTTACATCTTTCCAAATCAAAACACCTAACAGTTCGATTAACGTTAATGGAAAATACAATTTCTAATGAAATTCGCGTCTCAGACTACTTCCGGAAACTGCCGAAGATTACAATGTGAAAATAAGGGCAAATCAAATATGTATAGAAACTCCTTTACACAAGAAATACATGTGATAGCTGTATAGTCTGTTAGTGCACTTGGTGAGAAGTTATTACTGCTCCTTTTATGTTGCTGACATGCACCTGCGACACTTCCACATTTTGTGAGATCCCATAGTTAAAACGGACGCGCCCCTTCACCTGCCAAGTAGCTGAGTTCTTGTCAGTTAACGGGTTAGACTTGTCCTTGCCAGGTAAACGGTCGCCGAGAATGGTGCCAATTTTGTTTTGGACCATCTTTACAAACTCGCCATCTCTTGAGATTCTGATCTTCACTTTTCCTGTCAAAGTGACCTTCACCTCGAAGTCACTTTCAAATGTCTCCTCCTTGACCTCCATCCTCGCTACGGTTCTAGCATTCTTGGGGGCCAGCACGTTGGAGTCGATAGACCAAGCCAGCTCATTCTGCACGGTGTGGGTGGTCTTAGACCGGATGACCATTTGGCGTCCAAAACCGGCGGTTGCTTTACGGACTGGTTCTGGAATGTCGATGCTGAATCCGACGTCATTGCCGCTCGTGAATCCCTCCGTTAACTGTACTTCAGCCGTTGCATGCGTGACCTTCTGGGCAGTGAACCTATGCTGATGGTCATGATCCGTTCTGTTGTCATAGTTAGAGCAAAACACAAGTTGGGTGGAAGACTCCCGAGGTCCAATCTGGCCTGTAGGGAGGTATTTCAGACCGCTGGTTGTACATGTGACCTCATCTAGGAGGACCTCGAGCTCGGCGTCATCGAAGTCTATTCTATCATATTCATCTGTTGTTTGGACATAGGTATCCCAACCAAATGTCTTCAAAGGCTCCAGAATATCGGTTAGTTTAGAACTGCTCATACTGAAACAAACAAACAAACAACACACGTTTATACTTCAGATAATGTGAGTATTAATCCTTTACAGCGTAAGAGTCGGTTGAATTGTATAATCCCCATGGAGCTGAGAATGACTGTACATTGCCAATTGATCATCCAGTTGTATAATGTTCATGTAAAAATGTTTGAGTATATATGTGGGTGAAGAATATAGATTATACACGTGCGCCTTCGTCCTGTTTGGGCTGTGGGTGAGGGCGGGCTATGGAGATGGGGCGACAGGGTAGAAGTATCTCTGAATATAGGACTGAGTAGTATTGCTAGGGCGAGGAGCGAGGGCTGTGGGGTGGCTCTACCTCCTAGGAGTGTCGGTTGGTTCTACCTCCTAGGACTGTGGGTGGCACTACCTCCTAGGACTGTGGGTGGATCTACCTCCTAGGAGTGTCGGTGGCTCTACCTCCTAGGACTGTGGGTGGCTCTATCTCCTAGGACTGTGGGTGGCTCTACCTCCTAGGATTGTAGGGTGGCTCTACCTCCTAGGACTGTGGGTGGCTCTATCTCCTAGGACTGTGGGTGGATCTACCTCCTAGGACTGTGGGTGGCTGTACCTCCTAGGTTTGTAGGGTGGCTCTACCTCCTAGGACTGTAGGGTGGCTCTATCTCCTAGGACTGTGGGTGGCTCTACCTTCTAGGACTGTGGGTGGTTCTACTGTCCGGGGGCTGTGGGGTGAGGCTATTTGCGAAGTGCGCGGGCTATGACGTGGGACTCCTGGCCTGAGGTGTGGCTATACTGTCAATAATTCAACCGTTAGTCATTGTGGGAAACATGTCCCTCTTCTATACGTGCACACAAGAAGCCGTATTATTGACCACAGAAGATTCCCCATGACGGTAACTGAGCAAGTATAGACTTCACAGGTGTACGTGTGTCCATTTCTTATAAGGAATCTTAAGACAACATATCCAACATGAACATACAAGAACACTCCACTCACCTTGCTCTGGGCTTTGTGTTCATTGCCTTGCCTCCGTGAACGAATTCCAGCTTATAGAAACACTGCACCAGATCCACGTGCTTATATAGTCTCTGCCCATTCCTTTTTTAAACCTTACTTCAAACTGCAGTCATACCATATATTGAAAGTCTGGGAATACCCACACTTGTCGCCGGCTATTGGTCAAAGTTTGTTCAAGGCTTCATGGTGGGCGTGTCCTGCATTCCCATGATTCATGGTCAAGATGTCGTGGTTCTATTTATAGCCAGACAGTGTGTGTCGCGCATGACAACACACAGTCTAAGTAAACATATGTAAGACTTGGGTAATTGCTGTGGTTGCGTAACAATTACGTCTCACGGGAAAAGGGATGGGCAAGTGTGTCTATTGCGCGAAGTGCTCCAGTCAAAGATGACACAACACAAAAAGACAGTAAAAATATGTATTAAAATAAAAGTCTTGGTAACAGAGTTGCAAGTTCCGACTGCACAGTCCAGGTGAAACCTAAAAAACAAGTTGGCTTGTTGTCACCTCGACAGTGCAGGGAGAAAGAGCCATTGTACAGATACAATAATGAAAATAAATAATAATCCGACTGATACATAGGATGTGACGACAATACTTATTAGGGGAAACAATATTATTAGAGAATATATAAACACAATATTGGAACAAAAGTATATGTGCATATATGAGCACACAACCCCAAAGAGTATTTACATAAATAACTTTAATTATATAACTCAAAAGAATCGTCACACCCCTCCTATCAGAGGATTTACATGGGGCCCCATCTGAGGTGAGGTGAAAGTCACAATAACTTTAATGGCCAATGGGAAGTATAAAAATACATATATATATACACAAAGTGGGGAAAAATTTATACCCAACACATTTGGAATATATGAAAACCGGTTTGATTGATATAAACAATAGCCACGACAGGACACCTGGCCTGTACGACACATGTGGCTAAAGGAAATGGGGTATGACTGCCTGTTGGATGATCATACTAGTCAATATGAGGCTAGCTCCAACAGAATGTCAATACACCCAGTAGGTACACCACTTGGGGCTACCCAGAATGAACACCAAATTATAGTAAGTAAATTGACAATATGTAATAAACGGATATTACATGATTTATTTTACTACAATATGTAGGTATATTAATGGCCATATAATATAATACATTATATTATTATTGAATAAACTGTGACCTCACTTTCACATCAAGTGGGGAAACATACTAAAATATGATTGATATACATGTAGTTGCATGGTACCGGTAGTCAATGCTACGTTAAGATAACCATGAAGAAGACGACGGACCCTAGTTTTGTTTACATCCGGTGCGGCCATTTTGTAATGAAGCCGGACGGGAGCCGGAGAATGCCGAGGAGAGCCGAAGACAGCCAAGGTTGTGTGCTGCTCAGTGGAGAGGTCAGCACTGGTCAGTGAGCATAATCGCCACTAATTGGTTCCAGATGATACCGTGATACTCTAACTGAGCACATGGTTTGGAAACCGGGACAGTGATACAGCCACTGTTTAATTTAGATTAAAATGGCAAAAGAGTTCTGTTGTTAACAGCAACAAGTTGTAAATAAATGGAATTTTGAATTTAGCAATGAGCTAGAGACAATTTTGACTGGCAGGTCAAATAAGCAAATTAATGCTAAACACACAAAGTACTTTACTAAAATGAATTTCTAGATGAAAATATATTACATTGAGTACATGTCATTTATTCTTGCCATCGAGTGCACGTTTGGACAGTCACAGATGAGTGACCTTTCGCCAGATTGGCACAGCAAGAATAATTGATGACAGTGACTCAACACTTGTTTTAATTGTGATTTATCAAATTAAAAAAATACATTAATTTAAAAGCCGCAGATAATTACTTATCCTGCTAACAACATAACTATGCATTGGAATTTAGTACAGAAGACCTAGTTGCAATATGGAAACAAACTGAGGAGCTTACCTAAACAACAAGTTGGCTTGTTGTCACCTCGACAGTGCAGGCAGAAAGATTTCAGGCTTGGGGGTCCCACGCTCCCTCTTGCCCCTGTCATGTGACAACATGGCCCTGGGGATTGGCTAAAAAACTGTTGCTATGGAAACCATGGCACCAGTGCCTTGAGCCCAAGAACCCTATCAGATAACTGGTAAAGGGCAGGATATTGGGTTACTTGTGCAAGGGACTATGACAAAATATCCAGCCTTTACACTCTCCCCCCCCCCTTTAAGGAAATTTTGTAACCCGGATTGAAATTGGTAAATACAAATACTAGTACATGATTAAACAATGCTTTAGCTGAACAATCATTCGTAACCCTCTTGTGTCACACATGTATGACCTGACAATACTTCTTCGTAAATGGATGCCAGGAAAAGAACCTAGTGCTTCGTCGCTGGCGCTGGGATCTACGAGGAGCTTCCGGCAAGGTCATGATAATAGTCTCCTCACAGGGGAGAGACTGGAGTGGCTCGTCATCGGCAACTGGATCACTTATAGCAGAGTCCACAGAGTTCTCAGATAGGTCTGGCTCACCACCAGATGATTCTACCAGATCACAAGGGGCGATGAGCGATGTATCCTCATTGTCCGGATCTTCAGGCAGCCCATCTTCTCTGCCATGTAGTTCTCCTGAGTCCCCACTCTCCATGGGTTCTGATGGAGCAGCTTCAGCTTCCACTGCAACCGTTTCCCAGGTGAGGGGTCCTGCAGTGGTTGCCTCATTCTGCATACCGGGAACCACTTGGATAGCGGGGACTTCCTCTACAGTAGGTCGTGTGTATGGCAGCGCCTGTTCTTGTGGTTCAAAGGGTTGAGCCTCAGGGTTCAAGCTGCTAGTGGGTACAGCTCTAATAGGTTCAGGCTGTGGATACCATATATTGACAGTGTGTAGTTCATCTTCAGAGGATTCCAAGATGTCCTCCGGTTGATGATTCCGGGCTCTGGATCTGGTGACAGGCCGCCTGTGACACTGGTTTCTTTCTGGTTCATCCATGTCTAGGGGCAATGAACCAACAGGAAGTAAGAGGTTGCGATGGTAAGTCTTTGAGGGCCCGTCTCCATTTTCTGGTCGAACAACATAGACAGGCAATTCACCCTGGTGACGTTCGACAATGAAGACTCCCGACTTCCATCTGTCAGCGATGTTATGTTTTCCTTTGACCCCAATGTTGCGGACAACCACCTGGTCACCTGGTTCCAATGCTGCTGCATGAGCCTTTCGGTCATAGTAGCCCTTGTTGCGAATCGCTGACTTTTGGGCATTATCCCTGGCCACTTGGAATGCAAACTGGAGTCGGTCCCGCAGATCTTTGACATACTGTTGAGGTCCTTTTGAAGTCCTGCTGTCAGGATCTGTTCCAAACACCATGTCTACTGGTAGGCGTGCATGACGGCCGAACATGAGGTAGTATGGTGAGTAGCCTGTGGTGTCATGTGCAATGCAGTTGTACGCATGGGCTAGAGGTCCAATGTATTTTCTCCAGTCTTTCTTTTGGCTGTGGTTGAGAGTGCCGAGCATATCCAAGAGTGTACGATTCATCCTTTCAGTTACACCTTTGCACCTTGGATTGTATGGTGACGTTCTTGTTTTCTTGATGCCAGCCATATCGCACAACTTCTTGACAACTTTTGATTCAAAGTCCCGTCCTTGATCCGACAGTAGGTGCTGAGGGTAACCATAGTGACAGATGAGGTTTTCCCATAAAGCTTTGGCTACAGTGGTAGCTTTCTGATCCTTTGTTGGAACTGTTATTGCGTACTTTGTGAAGTGATCCGTGATCACCAGTACGTTTTCAAAGCCACCTTTGTCTGGTTCGATGGACAGGTAGTCAATGCAGACTAGTTCAAGGGGACAGATGGTAAGATGGCTTCCAGTGGTGCAGTTTCTTTCCTGGCTTTTCTCCTTATGCATCTTTCACAGTTTGAACAATAAGTTTGGATGGAGGTAGACATGATGTCCAGAAACTCATTGTCCTTGATCAGCACCTAACGTCATCGCTGATCATGACAACAGTCTATGAAGCGAGTTGGCGACGACATGTACGGACCAAGAACAAGAGATCAACTATCGAAGAGCTGAGTCAGAGGTTCAACTGGGACCTCATGTGCCTTGCTACGCAGCACAAGTTTTCAGTGCTGGACATGACCAAGATCTTCTTGAACAGGAAAGGGGGAAGAGCACCTGGCTGGTACTTGAAAGACACAGTGCATCCAACAGTGAACGGAACCATTGCTACTGAGATTTGCCTGTCCCAACTGTTGTGTGGACAACCAGTCACACAACCAGAGATGTCCGACCCAAGGCTCTATCACCAAAGACCAGACTCAGAAATGGACACTGGGATCAACCGCCGTAAGGAATTGTCTAAGCACCATCGTCCAGCAACACTAGCTCAACGGACCGGTGCAACCTTACGGATCACAGTGGACAACTCTGACTCTGAAGGAGAAGAGCCTGATACATGGGACGTGAAACGCAGACGCGTTTAAGAGACTTGATAGGAGGTTTTTTTTGTTTGTTTGCCCTGTTACAAATGTATGTGGTTTTCCACTCATTGTCAATCTACCATCAATATCAATCCGGGTTACAAAATTTCCTTAAAGGGGGGGAGAGTGTAAAGGCTGGATATTTTGTCATAGTCTCTTGCACAAGTAACCCAATATCCTGCCCTTTACCAGTTATCTGATAGGGTTCTTGGGCTCAAGGCACTGGTGCCATGGTTTCCATAGCAACAGTTTTTTTAGTCAATCCCCAGAGGCCATGTTGTCACATGACAGGGGCAAGAGGGAGCGTGGGACCCCCAAGCCTGAAATCTTCCTCTTTCTGCCTGCACTGTCGAGGTGACAACAAGCCAACTTGTTTTTTAGGTAAGAACCTCAGTTTGCTTCCATATTGCAACTAGGTCTTCTGTACTAAATTCCAATGCATAGTTATGTTTTTAGCAGGATAAGTAATTATCTGCGGCTTTTAAATTAATGTATTTTTTAATTTGATAAATCACAATTAAAACAAGTGTTGAGTCACTGTCATCAATTATTCTTGCTGTGCCAATCTGGCGAAAGGTCACTCATCTGTGACTGTCCAAACGTGCACTCGATGGCAAGAATAAATGACATGTACTCAATGTAATATATTTTCATCTAGAAATTCA